CATACAAATGAGCTCTCTGTGTTTTTCTAAAGGTGCTAAAGGTCTAAAAGGACAGAGAGGTGAACCTGGAAAAGGTCTACCAGGACATGATGGTCACCAAGGTCTCAGAGGTGGGATAATTTTATGTCTGCTATTTCAATAACTGTGGATTAGATGTAGTTAACTCTGTCTTATTTCTCCAAAAAGGACTGCCAGGCCATCCAGCAGAGCCAAAAGATGGAACTGATGGGCCGCGAGGACCCCGTGGGTTTCCCGGGCCTGTGGGTCAACCTGGCATGGCCGGTGATGCAGGAATATCTGGCATGTGCGAGGCACGAGACTGCAGCATTCATGCGCCTGTAGTGCGCAAAGAGATGGGATTGGTTAAAGGCCCTCTCAGTCAGGCCTGACAACAGGGACGAATGTGAGTGACCCGGGACAGGACATGATCTCCAGCAGAGGCCATGAAAATAGAAGACATCACATACAGACAGACTGGAGCCAAGAACTGGAGATCAAGTCTCTTCAGATTTGTTTACCAATTTGAAGTCCAAAAATGAAACTATACAAATGAAAACTATACCAGCACTTTTGGTTTCATTCATCGGCAATGTTTTGGTTTCATTATAAATACAGTACAGACATGTAAATAATTTTGTAAAGCATCTTAAATATACATATGTGTTCTGAAATATCAATCTTTATTTTGATTCATCAGGCTGAATTAAAGATACATTTTTTTTTTAAACTTTTACTGTTTGATGAATATAGTGTAACCACAAAAAAATGATGATCATTCAGGCCATCATACCTTTTTGAATAACTGTAAAATCCATTTAGAAAAAGATTTTTCTATATAGTTTATATACATATACGTGTATATATATATAAAGGACAAAATTTATTTGTGACGGAAAAATTATTCATGTCAATAAACATGTAATCATTTATAGTGTACAAGAAAAGGAACCGTTTAAAAGTTTCAAAAACTCAAAGTAGTATTGGTACATATTTCTTGGCAGTGTGTTTGAGGTGATTCTTATGACCTTGTTTTATGCAGTGACCCCAAAGAGTATTTTAACACTTAGCCACAAATAAAATAATTTACATTTATTTTCAGTATATATCAAAACAAGTGGATTTTATTTTAAAGAAATATAACACAAGCACAATTTCAAAATACAAATAAAACTTTAATTTGAATATATTTATATAGGCTCTATGTATCAGGTCATAGACCCTATAGTTAAAGACCCTACAAAATCACTAAAACGTACATTCATCAGAGGTAGATATGAAGCAAAGAAAATTCAAAAACATTTATATTAATACAGTACTATACTTTAAGACATTAGCAGAGATACCGCCCTGAGTGGGCCGCACACAATCCGCCATGTTTATCTTAACGCTAGAGCATTTGAAAGCAGCATTCATGTGTCTGCTTCCACTCAAAATAGGCATTTTCATAATGATATAATACATGATATGTGGGGTATTTTGCACTGAAACGTAACAGACACATTCTGGGGACACCTGAGACTTATATTACATCTTGTAAAAAGGGGCTTAATATGTGCCCTTTAAATAGACTCTGCTGAACACTCTCTTCTTTATCCCATATCACACTGAGTGGCTATTGCTTCTGTTGTTTTTATATGTATATCTAACACACAGCAGACACACCGCAATGGCTATGAGCACCAAGGTAACAGACAGGAAAATACCTAAAAAAAAAATAAAAAAAATTTTTTTTAGAGAAATCCTCTGAAATATTTCGGTACTTAACAGTATTATATATTTCTCTCACACACACACACGCAGTGTTTGTTTTGTATTACCAATGTGACCTCTGTTCACAGGGTTGATCAGAGATTGAGGGACTCTTTCACCTAAAACGAAAGAAAGAAAATGTTTTAGCACTGGCTACCCAACAATAAACAATATATCACTGGTAGAAAATAAACTTACCATAAAAATGTACACGGTATTCAGTCAAATAATCCTTTAAAATAGATACAAATGTTGGTTAATGTTCAATTCAATGCTCATAAAAGTCATAAAAGACATGACCTGTGGTGCATGAGAAAACGACTCACTCTTGTGCATATTACAGCCAGGGTGATATTGACACAGTCAGTCAGAACGATTCTCCCAAAGAACAACTCTTTGCATGGATTATGACACTCTGGGGTGAATTTAAGAAATGTTGCAATAGACTGAAGGATGAAAAAAGCATGAAAGTCAGTGAGCTGCAGCATATACGTGTGTATCTCAATAAATTAGAATGTCGTGGAAAAGTTCATTTATTTCAGTAATTCAACTCAAATTGTGAAACTCGTGTATTAAATAAATTAAATGCACACAGACTGAAGTATTTTAAGTCTTTGGTTCTTTTAATTGTGATTTGACCACTGGGCAACAGTCCAGTTCTTTTTCTCCTTAGCCCAGGTAAGATGCCTCTGATGTTGTCTGTGGTTCAGGAGTGGCTTAGCAAGAGGAATACGACAACTGTAGCCAACTTCCTTGACACGTCTGTGTGTGGTGGCTCTTGATGCCTTGGCCCCAGCCTCAGTCCATTCCTTGTGAAGTTCACTCAAATTCTTGAATCGATTTTGCACAATTCTGACAATCCTCAAAAGGCTGCGGTTCTCTCGGTTGGTTGTGCATCTTTTTCTTCCACACTTTTTCCTTCCACTCAACTTTCTGTTAACATGCTTGGATACAGCACTCTGTGAACAGCCAGCTTCTTTGGCAATGAATGTTTGTGGCTTACCCTCCTTGTGAAGGGTGTCAATGATTGTCTTCTGGACAACTGTCAGATCAGCAGTCTTCCCCATGATTGTGTAGCCTAGTGAACCAAACTGAGAGACCATTTTGAAGGCTCAGGAAACCTTTGCAGGTGTTTTGAGTTGATTAGCTGATTGGCATGTCACCATATTCTAATTTGTTGAGATAGTGAATTGGTGGGTTTTTGTTAAATGTGAGCCAAAATCATCACAATTAAAAGAACCAAAGACTTAAACTACTTCAGTCTGTGTGCACTGAATTTATTTAATACACGAGTTTCACAATTTGAGTTGAATTACTGAAATAAATGAACTTTTCCAAGACATTCTAATTTATTGAGATGCACCTGTAGATCATTGAACTTCAATTCTTCAATCTACTCACATGGTCCTGTGCAGACCAATATTGATCACAGTCGGGGTTCTTTATGGCATATTCAGACTCTACATGGTGTAGCTCTTCCGTACAAGTGTAGTTTTGTGTCGTCTCTGTGACTGTAGTGAAAACTGAGGGACGAGAGGCATAAAATGATTCAATCCCTTCATCTAGAATAATTTGTCATTACCGTATATTTAGAAAGGGAATCATATAGGTGCAACACATGAGAAATGTAATGAGTTTTTTTAATGCTAATAACTTCTCTGCGTGTCAAAGTAAATAATGGAAGCTTATCCAGGTGTGTGTGTGTATACTGGGTAAGGACCAAATGTCTTCACTTATATTGTGAAATACTTTGACAACCCCCACTAGTCAGGTTTTTTACTGGTCCTCACTAGTTAAAAAGGCTTATAAATCATAAATATGTTTTTTATTTACATTTAAAGGTGCAATAGGAGATCTTGGAAAATGCTAACTTTAGCCTGATAGCACTGAAAGCGAACGTCCCACCCTCCCTGCAATCGCCGTCCAAAGCCACGCCTCCTGAACACATTTACACTCACAGACCAGAGACAACATTACTACAATAGGCTACATCAGGTTCCCAATTCCAGCCCATGTTCCGAAGTGAAGTAAACTTCAACTGATTTCCCCTGCTCGGGGAGTAGGGAGCAATGAACACGTTGCAGGGATCATATCAATCGGAACGCAGTTCATGCACATAGCTCACTTCTAACGAGCTGGTTATATGAATCAGGTGTGTTAACTAAGAGAGACATGCAAAATATGCAGAGCAGTGGGGCACGTGGACTGGGATTGGGAACCGCTGTGGTAAGTAACGTAACATTTCCGTCACACACTTGAGGCAATCAGTTTGGACGAACATTTCTTGATCCTACACCTTTCACAGAATATATAAATACAGATAAATACATTTAGACCACTTAACTTAATGATTGCTTTCGGGATCTGAAGAGACTTTCAACCAGCATAACAAAAAATGTTTCTGAAGACAATCACCTACTGCACCTTTAATGTTCTGCACGTTTCTGTGATGGGTAAGTTAGGGGTAGACGTTGGGTTAGAAAATATAATTAAACTGATATAAAATCAGTGGAAGTATATGCCCTCACTAAGAAACAAACGTACGTGTGTGTTTCTATAGTGTAAAGTGTAACGTTTATGAGACAGACAGCAAGGGCTACAAGGTTTCAGTTTAAAACTACACGCTCAGCAACAACATTACATAATGGTGGGAATCCCGAGTTTTGTCAAGTGAAAATTACTTTCTCTACCAAACATATTTTTAAATTAACTGCATGTATATAACATTTAAAAAAGATTAAGATGCAATGTTAAAATTAAAAACCTTGAAAGACAGCGGAGAACTACCGCAACATTTTCTTTTCTTACATTTTAGGCGAAAGAGTCCCGCAATAACACAAAAGAGACAAAATTAAAACCTAGAAAAAGCTGGCAAAAACAAACAAATGACAAAACACACGGATAACAAAACGTGAATGTGAAAAGCCAGCATAACTACAAGCGCTCGCACTTAACGACAAAATAAACGTGCCGCTGCGTCATTATTATTTGAATAACACCAAGCCTCATGGCTACTACAATCAAGATATGTGAAGCAAGCAAACTGGAGATTTGGATAAAATATCTTACCAGGCACAACAAAAACCGATAACGATAGAAAACGAACAAAAACATATTTAATCCAGAGCATCGCGCTGACTCGTCTAGGTGAATTTCACAGTGTTTACAAGTTTACCACCTCTAGGCTTCCCTACTTCCCTACTGTGTATTGATGACATCAGTCACTCTTGCTTGCTCGTGCTAGGGAATTCCCCACTTCCTCAAACCAGAACTACAAAGAGCAAGAGTCCTATAAATTCAACGCGTGGACATCAAGCTCCAGTCAGAACCATGCCTTACTTCTCGGAATTCATCGCCTGTCTTGTCATTTTAGGTAAGACTCCACCCGTATTCCTGAGAGTATCTTCACGCAGACTCTGTTGATTCAGGTTGACATGAGGTGTTTTATTTTCAGCTGTGACGGAGGGAGTCCGGCACGAGATTCGTTTCATCTGTGGTGAGGACGCAGTCTTGAGCTGTGCGGCGAAATCAAAGCCCGCGGTCCTGTACCGTTCGGTCACATGGTATAAGGTAAAGGTCAAAATTCGTATTTTTTTCTAGAACCTTGCGTTTTATCCTCACATATGAATGTTTTGTACTAGGTGTTTCAATAACCACTAAAACTTCTTTCTCAAAACCTATTTATCACGTTTTTTTTTCTGGATCTATTAGGCCTAAGCTATTCAAAAACACGTTAGAAATACAGTAGCCTGCATACAAAGAGTCACTTGAATGCCTTGATGAACGTTTTCCATTTTTAATTTTGATAAAAAAAAAAAAAAAACATTACGTTTTGAAACAGATGTTTTAAAATATTCATATTTGAAAAACGTTTTTCAAAGTTTTTAAGTTGGCTACTTTTTGCTTTTATATTTTTGTAAGGGTACTTATACAAATGTGTCCCTACATGTTTTAAGTTACTTGAGAGATGTATTGTTTCAAATGAAGATGTCATTTAACTTTAAGCTAAACCTCTCTTCTGCAGGTGTCTGAAGAGCCTTCCCAGCTGTTAAGTGGACTTGTAAGGAAGAGACTAACTGAAAACAGTGGCGATGTGAAAAAATATAAAGATGTCAAACGAGAGGTCAAGCTACTTGAGAGCTCAATGAGCCTTCTTCTGTCTAATGTAACTGCAGAGGACAGTGGGATATACAAATGCTTTCTGTCTGCTCCCCTTGGCTATCAGAACCAAGAAGGCGAAATCGTTCTGAAGGTCGATGGTACGTTTATGTGGATTTATAATGGCCACAAAAAGTATTTGAACACTTACTTAAGTCACACTTAAAATATACAAAGTATTAGACACTTTTGTGGCTTTTAGAATTCGAATCAAGTTCACTGGGGTGTAAGTAGCCTACATCTTACCAAAGGTGTAGTTCATCTCAATGCAATAATATTCACACAATTTTAAGTGTGGCTTCCAAATACTTTTAAGGCCACTGTATGTACTGTATACAGCAACTGTGAGCAATAGCTCACAAACTAACAATCTGATGTTCATGTGTGTTTTTTTCTTTCTTTCTCATTTTTAGAGCATGCTACAGTTGAGAAAATGGAATTTAATAAAAGTGATTCACTATATGTAGTTCTGGCTGTCACAGTACTCATTATGGCACTCCTGATGTTTTGCATAAGCTATGTAAGTAATATATATATATATATATATATATAAGTATCTTTATACTTTGAGTAAAGATATTATGCATGTATTTTTAAGTTATTTACCAAAGGCATGTTTACCACAGGTTTGTTTAAGGAATGTATTCCAAAGCAACAATAAGCTCTCTAAAGACTCTGCTGAAAATGCCACATCAAGGCAAGAACGTAATCATCACCAATCATTTGATTTGCAAGACCATGCCTGAAGTTTATGTGTGATGGTAACCAGAGTACATGGACTAGTGCTCAGTAGAAGTCAAATGTAGTTTTGCGCACAGGACATGGACAGTTCACAGAGCTTGTGCTGAAGTGGACCACTGGCAAGCACAGGAAATGGCAACCTACTTGCTAAGGTCAATGTGCAAATGGCAGATGCATGCACAAAGGTTTCAACATCATCAGCACCACCTTTTGAAAATCTTTTAAAAACTGCATCTTTACAACATGAAACAGTGAGACCAAGTGAAAAATGGCTTTTTCTGTATTAAAATTGTGCATGCTTCATTATGGTTGCTTGTTGGTGAGTGTGAACACCATGGAAGTGAAGAAGGACTGACCCAAATACAGACCATGTTTGAATGTTATGCTCGGTGATCAATGTTATTGTCAGGCACACCTGTAGGTATTCTACCAAATAAATTATATGATAGCAAATTTCTCAATCTATAGATTATATAGAAGAAGAAGAAAAACTTTTAAATATATATATATATGTTTTGTTTGTTTCAATGTTGTCATTCTTATAGAAATACAAACAAAAAAATCTACCTCGTATAATGTGTTAATGTGAGTGTTAATGTTCAGTGAACAGAATAAAGTGGATACAAAATGTAAATGTTATTGCTAGTTTTGTTCTGTTAAGACTGCACATCTATGTTTGTTTTTTTTTATAAAAGACAAAATCTAAATATTTCATCTAAATATAAATTTGAAACTTAGAAAATGTACAGGTCACAAATAATGTATTTCTAGCATCACCCATAGGCTATTAGTTCAAGTGATTTTGTTATTGCCAGTAATATTTTATAAACTGGCTGGTGAAACTAATAACAGTTTAATTGAGTACAAATCTAAAATGTAATTTTCAATATTCTGGAATAAAATAATAGGTTTTTTTTTCTGTTACTCATCTGAGTTATCATGTATATATGTTCATGTATCATGTATATATGTTTTGGTTTTCAAATTTTTAAATTCTAACTTTTTTAAAAGGACCATCATCACATAAGTTTCATATTTTATGTCTATGATTAAAAAAACAGCACTCAACGAGAAGAAATGACAAATTAACTTTGGAAGTAGCACGTGTTTTTTGAACAAAGACAGAAAAAGACACAATGGCGCTCTCTAGTGGCTGAAAAACCACTACTTTCTAACATCTTTTACTACAAAGAACAAGAGCAGTTCATTGTTCATATATTACACCTGTTCACTACTAAAGGAAAACTTAAAAACAATCCTTCATTGTTTGTATATCATTAGCTATATCAAAAGGCCCCTTTCAAGTAAAAAGTACACTTATTTTCTAAGGGGGTCCCTAGAAAAATGCTCCACTGTGAGATTGCTTGATTTATTCATTGATTAATTAAAACATCCTTATCTATTTCTTATTAGTTGGAATGTTCATTATTTATTTTCCAATCTTTCCTTTATTTTTCTGTTCTTGATGCAAGGTGGTGGAATCAATATCTTTTAATTAGAGGAACCAAACCAAACCACTGTGATTTGTCAGACAAACTCCTCAGGTTTTAACTTCAGTGGAGCTGTAAATTCAATAGTTTTAAATTGGCTCGAGCATAACCAGCCCTGTCTGCCCATTTATCAAGCTCACAAATGAGCTCACAAACCCGTGTGACATATCGTTACTATAAATTATACAAACACAGAACTTGTGGATGTTATTGATGGTGGTGATGACAGGGTTCCTCAGCCATCTGTCTGTAATAGTATAAGCATGCTTGAAAAGTAAAAAATAAGACAAACTGCTTTTCCATAACCACTGACCCACAACATAAGAAATGACTTTCACCTCAAACACTCAGTTAGAATTCTAGATCTTATTTTTTTCCAAGGTCAAATGGAGTGTTTCATTTTTAAACTAATGTTGAGTCTGACATACTTTCATGGAGCAGTAACACAATCCAAACCGTATTTTACATAATTATCCAATGGAAACCTGGCACTATGGGAAATGCTAAAATAAGTCCTCATGATTTACATATACCTTGACTTATAATCATCACTTACTGGATTTGATAATATGACTGGCTCTCAGTCAAGTTATTCACCACACCAGTCATAGTTATGATATCAAATTGTTTGGCTGATTTTAGGTATATGTTAAGTAAAAAAATAAAAGAATTCTTATCCATGCAAGCACAGATGTGAAGGAGCGAGTAAACAGAAGTTGATAAATTATTCTTCTCTTTTCTCCTTTGCTATCCACTTTATTGGCTTTTTTCTAAAAGATGCTTCAGTCAAACAGTCACAACTGCTATTTGCTGAAATGAACGAACATTTTAGTATGTTTGGAATATTTCTGGAAAAAAAAGAAAGAAATGAAAAAAATAAATTAAATTGCATTTTGTGTTGATTATGCCAAGCAATAAGCTAAACACTAATTAACCAATAATATTGTTGAACGAACATTTTAATATGTAAATTAAGTAATATATGTTTTAAAAGAATATTTCTGTCTGAAATAAACTAATAAATAAAAAAAATCAATCAATCATTCTGCATTTATTATGGTTCCAACAGGTTACCCAAACAATCTTTAATGCAACCTTACAACTGGATCTGAAGAGTTAAGCAATAATTAACCAATAATAGGTCTACTTTTTGTAAAATATTTGAATACTATTAAAGAAAAACATTACAAACCTATTATGATAATAAAACAATGTTGTGAGTATGTATTTTTAATTACACATTGAGTTTATTTTGTGTCTTTTTTATTCAATGAAACATACTGTGTTTGAGAGTAAAACTAATTATTTTGTAATAAAAAAAAAATAATAATAAATTGCAAAAAAAAGTCTTCTTAAGGCTCAAAAATAAAGAAATTGATAAAATTCTTTGCACTGAGTGTAAAACTTTGAAAATCTTTATTTTTCTTTGTGCATTTAAAACACATTTCATCACGAAACCACAAATGTTGCTCTCTTTTCTGCTCTTTTTTTATTTTTATTTTTTTGCGGGTCTAAATCTTTTACTTGTGAGTTGAAAAGTTTTGCTTGTGAGTGAAGCTGTATCTCAGTGGGCGGTCTCTACCTACCAGGATGAAAGGCCTTTTTCTATTGGTCACTCTCGATTGAAGTGACAGGTTGACCACGCCCACTACGCTTTCCCACCACTGCCGCCACCAGTCAGAAGAGCGAGGCGAGCGAGGTTGTAGCAATGGTGAGCAACAGGTTGTTTACTGGCTAATGGTAAGCTTACACTAGATGATTGAAAGACTAGCCGAATCACTGTGTTGCTCACATTACGCAACAAGATTTCTTCTCATCTGTCGTCGTCTTGTCATAGCTGTGCACATGCTACACAACACAACGCTAATGAGGTGCACACACTACAAAACATTCAGTGAAGAGGCATTCCCGACAATCAGCGAAAATACGTTTTCTCACATAAATTCTCGCGAGAAATTACAGCGATTATATGCCATATATTCAAGCATGGACAATCAACTGCTGCTCCCATAGGTCTGTGCAGTTATTTTATCCGAAAGAAAGAAGAAACCACGACAAAAGAGAATATGGCAGAAACAATGGCTTGGAAGACGTGGACAACAAGGACTGTCAGTACTGCAGAAAGAGTTGGAGGTAATTAAACAGTACAATGAAATGTGGTATTATATACACAATCTATGCATTTGTTAAATATATTTTTAGTTAGTTGATTTGATTAATTTGTGGCTTTTCGTTTTTGTTCATGAAGATGCATGATAAGAGTGTTTATACCATCTGCACTGTGATTGGCTGGATTAGTTCCACCTTGACATTACCTTGCTCACATTACGAGATCATGTGGCGATAATATCAAACAGGTTTCAAAATGTCGTAGCGCCTGTGATAGCTCGAGACAGGTTCGGATCACGTTGCTGACCTGCTCATACTTAACGAGCTTCGGCAACCACAACGAGCACCGATTTGGTCACGATCCGGGGGGTTTTGTCACAGACTGTGGAAATCTGTCCGCGACAGCAAAATCCAGCCAAAAATCCTGTAGTGTGAGCTTGCCATTAGGGACTGCAAATTTCCCTATTGTCTGCAAATTTACCCATTGCACCATTTGTCCTAGACACATGAATGAGGTGTCAAATCGTGCCGCCATCTTACGTAAATGTATGTTTACCGCTGATTGGCCAACACAGTTCGACACGCCCCCTACCTTTTGGCACGCCCCTACCTTTCAGCACACCCATTACTCCAAGCTGCAGCTACCCCTACTTGGCTACAGCGGCAGCTGCCAGAGACAGATCCTGGCTGCTGGAGATTCCGCCACGAGATGCCGATATCATCAACTACAGATGGGCTAACGTTACGGATTTAGATGGGAGAGCATAAGAAGAGAGAGTAATTAAAGGGTTAGTTCACCCAAAAATGAAAATTAGCCCATAAATTACTCACCCTCAAGTCATCCTAGGTGTATATGACTTTCTTCTTTCAGACGAATCCAGTCGGAGTTATATTAAAAATGGTCTTTGATCTTTCAAGCTGTTTAATGCCACTCAGCGAGTGTTGCATGCATCAGTCCAAAAGCAGTTAAATAAAATGCACCCATTGTTACGGTCCTTTCGAGATCTAGGGAATTGATCCGCAATATTTAAAACAAATAAATTCGATGAATGGAGAGGAGAGCAGAAAAACAGCCAGGACGACAGCATATGGCAAAAGGCAGTAATTTATTCTACAAATGGCAGAAGGCAGCAACTTATTCACGTAACTGTCCAGAAACGCACCAGCAGCGCTTGTGCATATTTACAGTGCCGAAAATAAAAAGTGGAATACAAACCTAAATCAACAAAGAAACAAAACCAAACAAGGCTACACTAAACGCCCAAACCCACTAACCTATCCTAACCAAATAAAAATGTGAAACAAAAACACGAAAGCTTCGGCGTAGGCGACGCCCTAAATACCCTACACTAACTAAAACAGAAAGAAATACACAAGAGGCGCTCACCCACTGACTAGTGTATCTAACACGGTTTCACTACGTGCAAGAGATGTAACCTATAACTAAGCTTACCTACCCTCATCTCCCACCTAGAGAACGAGAAAACTCAATAAGCTCACCATCAATTCGGCACATAGTTGTAAGACATGAAAGTCATACTGAGCAACTTGAGAACGAGAAAATACACAGGCGTGAGGCACAACTCAAACAAATCGAAAACACACACGCTGATGTGATGGAGCTCACACAGGCTCTCCGCTCAGAGCACAGCCAAAAAGTTTCGTTACACACCCCAACAGCGCTCACTGCGCTGCCCTCGCCCCCCAGGCAGAGCGCACCGGAAGCTTTTAAAGCCACGGGCCGTCCGCTGATTCGTCGCAGTATGGAACACCCTAATAATAGGCTTGTTTGAGATGCACCTTGCCTTGCCTGAAATGAAGGCGAGAGTAGGCGGCTGCAGTGAGGGGAGGAGTGAAATAAGCGCAGGCAAGATGGACAGTTCTGACCTCTAGAAGTGAACAGATAC